CGATTACAACAATGGGACGTGGCTCATTCAGGTAGGATGTGATAGGATGCTTTATATCTTCCAATTCCTGTGTCTTTCTCCCACTGGACATTGCTACATTGCCAGATTTCTCTCTTCACCAGCTTTTTTTGTGTTTGGCCACTTGATACATTGTTTTAAGGTATTGATTTTACCAGCTTCAACCCCAGAGCACATCTCAGTTATTAGAGACATTGTTTCCTTTAATGTAAGCATTTCATTCAGCTCAGAAGCCAGTCTTTTTTTTTTTAATGGAGATGTAATTGACATATAACGTATTGGTTTCGGCTGTACAACATAATGATTCAGTACTGCAAAATGGTCTCACTAAGCCTACTTCACGGCCATCTCCACGGTTCCGTTTTTTTTTTTTCTTGTGATGAGAACTTTTAAGGTAGACTCTCTTAGACATCTTCAGATACACATTACAGCATTATTAACTGTGGTCACCGTGCCGCACATGATTACATGCCCAGGACTTATTTATTGTATAGCTGGAAATTTGTACCTTTTCACCCCCTTCTGCCGTTTTGCGCATCCGTCCAGCCCCTGCCTCTGGCAACCACCCATCTGTTCTCTGCATCTATGAGCTCAGTGTTTTGTTTTTGGCTTTTTAAAAAAATTTTAGGTCCCACATATAAGTGAAATCATACGGTATTTGTCTTTGTCTAACTTACCTCACTTACGCATGATGACCTCAAGTTCCATCCATGTTGGAAACGGCAAGGTTTCCTTCCTTTTTATGGCTGAATAATATTCCTCTGTGTGCGCATGTGCGTGCATGTGTGCGCATCACATTCTCTTCATCTGTTCACCTGCGGACACTTAGGTTGCTTCCACGTCTTGGCTGTTGTAAATAATATGCAGTGAACATGGTGGCGCAGATATCTTTTCAAGTTAGTGTTTTCATTTCCTTTGGATGAATACCCAGGAGTGGAATTACCGGATCGTAGGGTAGTCGTATTTTTACTTTTTTCAGGACCCTCCATACTGTTTTCCACCGTGGCTACAGCCACTGTTTCCCTTTTCTACACATCCTTGTCAACACGCTTGTTCTATTTGTCTCTCTGACAGTAGTCACCAGTCTAACTGGTGTGAGGGGATAACCTCATTCTCTGACGGTGAGTGATGTGGAGCATCTTTTCATGTATCTGTTGCCTACATGTTGTCTTTGGAAACGTGTCTGTTCAGATCTTCTGCCCATATTTTAATTGGATTATTTGGAGTTTCGCTATTGAATTGTAGGAGTTCTTTATATATTTTGGATATTAACTCCTTGCAAATATTTTCTCCCATTCATAGGTCACCCTCTCATTGTGTCAATGATTTCCTTTGCTGTGCAGAAGCTTTGTGGTTCAGTGTGGTCCCACTTGTTTATTTTTGCTTTTGTTGCATTTGCTTTTGTTTCAAATCCAAAAAATCATCGCCAAGACCAGTGTCAAGGAGCTTACTACCCATTTTTTTCTAGGAGTTTTATGGGATCAGGTCTTATGTTCATGTCTTTAATCCATTTTGAGTTGATTTTTGTGTATAGTACAAGGTAGTGTTCTAGTGTCATTCCTTTGCATGTGGCTGTCCCGTTTTCCCAACACCATCTATTGAAGAGACTGTCCTTTTCCCCCATTGTATATTCTTGCCTTCTCTTCTGTAAATTAATTGACTGTATGTGTGTGGGTTTATTTCTCAGCTCTCTCTTCTGTTCCGCTGATCTTTGTGTCAGTTTTTTGCCAAAACCATGCTGCTTGATTACAATAGCTTTATAATATAGTTTGAAACCAGGAAGCATGATGCTTCCAGCTCTGTGTTTTTTTTTTTTTTTTTTAATGTATGTTTATTTAAGAGGGAGAGAGAGAGAGAGGGCAGGGGGGCAGGGGAGGGGCAGAGAGAGAGAATCCCAAGCAGGCCCTGCACTCAGCACAGAGCCTGATGTGGGGCTTGATCCCAAAAACCGCGAGATCACGACCTGAGCCAAAATCAAGAATCAGACGCCTAACCAACTGAGCCACCCAGGTGCCCCAGCTCCGTTCTTAAGATTGTGTTGGCTGTTTGGGGTCTTTTTGGTTGGTTTCCTACAAATTATAGTATTATTTATTGTATTTCTGTGAAAAAGCCGTTGAAATTTTGGTAGAGATTGCATTGAATCTGCAGGCTGCTTTGAGTAGTACGGACATTTTAACCACCTTAATGCTTCCAGTCTATGAGCTCGAGTGTTTTTCCGTAGATTTCTGTCTCCTTCAGTTTCTCGGAAGGCAGTCTCACTTGTTCTCGCCTGGACTCCTGTGATAGTTTCCCTCTCCCTGCCAGCCGCTCTGGGGCCGTGCTGCTGCCCGAGTGACCTTTCTAAATCGCAGCTGTGACGTGTCACTCTTGGGCTGGCAAACTTACGCGCCTCCCACCGCCTTCGAGATGAGGGACAGACTCTCCATTACAGCAGCCACAGGCGACCTTAGGCTGCCTTTTACCTCTCCTTCCCTCAGCCGTGCGCTTCGGCAATACTGAAGGACTTACCACTGTTCTGAACGTGCGGTGCTCTTTCAAGTCTGCCTTTTGATGTGTTATTTCGTCTGCCTCTCACTTTTGTGACTCACATGCCTTCAAGACTTAGCTCCGTTGGCACAGTCATTTGAAATTTTGTCCGAACTCCTCGAGCAGGATGGCTCTCCTTTTTACTGAACCTGTCGTGGCACATGGCGATGATCTGAAGATACGAGCGAAATTGCGTTTCTTCAAATCTTCGAATAGCCCGCAGCGTGCTACATAGTAGACATTCAAAAACTTAAGGAACGGCTCATGCCTGAAAGAAGATTGACCCCAAATTTATTTCGTCGTATACATTTGTTTAGTTTAAAATTTTTTTCCCTGATCATAAAAGTACGAAAACACATGAAAAGAATACATATTCACTGTTGAAAACTTGACAGAATATAGAAAAGCTAACAGAATATGATGTTATCCATCTGTTTCCCAACATATTTGGTGTATTTCTCCCCGGTCATGTGTTTTTCTTCTGTGGGATTGCTGTTTGTTTTTACAGAGTTGAGGTGCAATGTCAAGTTGAATAGAGAGTTAAGGCCACCCAGGGAGAACATAGAAATTATCTGCACCTGTTTCCAAGATAAGACAGTGAGATCTTTAAAGGGGCATGTCACTGCCTGCGTTCCTCCCAGGGGTCATAGAGTTCTGTTGTGCTGAGCAAAGACACTATGCTGTGCGTGCTGTCACCGACCCTGCGCACAGCCCTGTGAGGTCGGCACCGCTTTCTCTTTCGTCACGGTCAGGCAGTGACGACCCGCAGTATGAGTGTGGGCCTGCTCTCAGGAACCCTGGAGCTGCTCAACGTATATCAGGAGTCTCACCAACAGTGCAGAAGAAGGATCCATTAGCTGAGTATAAGGTGACACACTGTGCGGGGAATCCGGACTCTGTCAGTGTTTTTATCTGTTCCCACAGAAAAGCTGTAATGCTTTAAAAAAAAAAAAAATGGTAAACGGACAAGATCCCTGCTCTCATGGTGCTTGCATTCTAGTGGGAGCAGTTAGTTTGACAATAGGAACGTAAACGAGGGAGAGCAGAGTGGTAAGTGGTATTAGGAAAAGAAGGCTGATGCAGTAGAGAAAAGGTGGCAGCTGGCTGCCTTCCGTCGGATCTCTGGAGCAAGCCTCTCTGGGGGGCTGACCGTGGAGGTAGCCTGAGCAGTAGAAGGGAGCAGCTGAGCCCCCACTGAGAAATTAGAAGACACTGGAATGTAAATGTGTATCAAACCTTGGGGCAGGGGAGTGTAACTTTCTAAGCCCAAAAGTTAATAGTAATAATCACAAAGGAAAAGCTTGTCAATTTTGACAAGATAAAACTTATGGACCTTTTAATTTAAAAAGAAGAAACAACAACCCGTAGTGTTAAGTGGCAAACAATTCTGAAGAACTGTTTTAGCATGTAATATATACACAGGATTATTGATTACAAGATAATACAGATTAATAAGAAGAATCGAAAACTCAGCAGCTAAATGGCAAAGAAGTATGAGTCAGGAATTCCCAGAAGAGACTATATAATTTATAAACATCACTAGAAATCAAAAGAAACACAATTAAATGAGGAATCGTTTTTTTTAATCTACTAAATTGATTTAAACTTCTTTGCTTTTACCAATATCCCATACTTGGAAGAATACAGTGCAGTTGGTATTTTTGTAAATTGGGAAAGATGCTATCAATTAGTATAATTTCCTTTTGAAAAAACAGCTAGGCATTGTGTCCAAAATCCATACAAAATATCTCTATTTCTTGTCCCTGTAATTTCACCCCAGAAAATTTACCTTAAAACAAAACAAACTATTAGGGAAAAATAAACATTTACAGCAAAACGTGATTTATTAGCTTTTTTTTTAAATTTTTTGTTTTTAATGTTTATTTTTGAGAGAGACAGTGTGAGTGGGGGAGAGGCAGGGAGAGAGGGAGACACAGAATCCAAAGCAGGCGCCGGGCTCTGAGCTATGAGCTCAGAGCCCGACGCAGGGCTTGAACCCATGGACCGTGAGATCATGACCTGAGCCCAAGTCGGAAGCTTAACCGACCGAGCCCCCCAGGCACCCATATTAGATATTTGATAGAGCCCAGATGTCTGCCAGCAGGGAGGTGTTTGACTCGGGATGCATGCATGAAATGGCATGTTAGATGCATACGAAAAAGGATGGTCGTAAGAGCTGCGGTAGCTTCAGGAGATGCTTCAGTGTAGTGGGAAATGCAAACAGCAGTGTGCAAAATTGTCTCCACACTCTTTGTACTTGTTTTTTTCAGATGTGCATGAAAAAAAAATGACTCGAGAGTATACACCAAAAAATGTCCACAGTAGTGTCGGAGTAGCTGGGATAAACATTTAACCAATAGGTCTTAGGAAAAAAACTAATTTTTCTTGAAAAACATACTTAAAACCTCAATGACAACAATAAAGAAATTGACTCTACTTCATCTTTCCACAAAAAGAGCTTTGAAGGTACAATCGTGTGGGAGAGCCAAGACCTCCAGGGCCTCGTGTCAAGAAATCTGCACAAAGTGACAGTAAATGATGGCGGGGGAGTTCTCAGAGTCATGACGGTAAGCCCTCCTTCTTTCCTGAGGTTGTTCGGCATACTTCAGCATTTTCTAATACATGAAGTGTTTCTAAATTTACTTTTACATCAACCCCGGAGTATGGAACAGCGAATCGTGTGTATTTTAAAGCACATACGGCAGAAAGTGCCAAGTCACCGTAGTGAAATTGAGCAGCTCCAATGTTCTACGATCGTGTGACCCCAACCAAGTAAATACACAGTTCTGCCTTAGGATAGGTGCCTTTCTATTTTGTCTTAAGTTTATTTATTTTGAGAGGGAGGGGGCAGAGCATGAGTGGGGCAGGGGCAGAGAGGAAGGGAGAGAGCATTCCAAGCAGGCTCCGTACTGTCGGCGCAGAGCCCAGCACAGGGCTCCATCCCACAAACCGTGAGATCACAACCTGAGCCGAGATCGAGTCCGACGCTTAACCGATTGAGCCACCCAGGCACCCAGGATAGGGTCCTTTTTAAAACGTGTGATATATTATTTCTCAATAATTTTTAAGCTAGCGTTCTTGAAGGACACTTGCTCAGTAGTATTCAGAACATTCACTGTCAGCCCACAGTAGGTAGTTAAAACAGCACAGATCGGGGGCGCCTGGGTGGCTTGGTCAGTTAAGCGTCCGACTTCAGCTCAGGTCATGATCTCACGGTCCATGAGTTCAAGCCCCGCGTCGGGCTCTGTGCTGACAGCTCAGAGTCTGGAGCCTGTTTCAGATTCTGTGTCTCCCTCTCTCTCTGCCCCTCCCTGTTCATGCTCTGTCTCTCTCTGTCTCAAAAATAAATAAATAAATAAATAAATAAATAAATAAATAAATAAATAAAGCACAGATTGAAAATAAGAGGGAGCGTTCGCTTTCATTTATAGTGCTGGAATCTCTGCTTTGTGTTTTTCTTTTATTCAGATTTGCTTCAAATTTAAATCAGTGACAGGTGAATTTCTCAAAGTAAATATGGGATGATCAGGTATAGGCAGACCTAAAATGATAAGCTTTCAGTAAACAAGTGGTGTTTGTGGTGGTGTCAGAAACACAGTCTTTCATTCTCCTTGATGCTGTGGTACAAGGATTAGGAAAGTACTGGGCATTTCATTTCAGAAGCTTAGTATATTCTCATTAATGTTAATCTTATTTACGTGAATTAATTCCTGAATATGAAATGAATATTATGTGGTATGTTGTCACCCGTTTAGAAAACCACTCCTGGCCCACCATGAGACTTCTACTCCAGTGAGGAAGAAAGACAATAGATGGACAGATCCACAAATTCAAATATAATTACAGATTTAGCCTTGTGGGTCATGTTTAGGATCTCGTTCTTTATTACAAAAAGTCCTTTGTTTAAGATACATGTTTTATGGAATTTATAGCTTTATTCTTTTCTTACCTTATTTCCAAGGCAAGTGCCTTTAATATGTTGCCTGCTTGGGGCACCTGGGTGGCTCAGTTGGTTAAGCATCTGACTTAGGCTCAGGTCATGATCCCTCAGTTTGTGAGTTGAACCCTGCATCAGGCTCTGTGCTCACAGAGGCTGCTTCGGATTCCGTGTCTCCCTCTCTCTCTGCCACTTCCCCGCTCGTGCTCACTCTCTCTCAAAAAATAATAATAGTAAATAAACATTATATATATATATATATATATATATATATATATATATATATGTAGTATGTTTATATATATATATACTATGTTTATATATATGTCATGTTGCCTCCTTTTCTATTTATGAAACTTAAAAATATCCAAAATGTGTTGGAATTCTGTAGTATTAAGTTGGTTACACAAAAGGAAACAGATGACTTCTGAGTTGAGGACTAGGTTCAAATGTAAAGACTCAAACGATCCATGGTGGGGGTACATATAGCTGTAGAGAGCTAGAGAAAGCCTAAACACTGAGCTAACCTTAAAAAAAGTCCAGTAACTTAGTAGCGTGTTCTAGGAAACCCCACGTACAAAATTAAGGTTTTCATCGTAGATGCAGAAAGCTCGAAGCTTCCATGAGTCTTGCTCCCTTGCCAGCAAGTGACAATGTCAGAAACTTTTAAAAGCCAGAATAAAAGCCAAGCTGTGACCTTTTAGATAGAAGTTCATAAAAAGTACTAAAACAATGTAGGGTACGCGGTGAAAAAATAGAGAGTCTACTCTGTGTTACAGTATATAATAGAGAGCTTTCATAGAACTACAAAGCTGGAAACTGTAGCATTCACCTTCAGTGGTTTCCTCCACATGGAACTACAGACCGTATCGTAAATTAAATGGCAAGTTCCCGCAGTCAGCTCAGGACAGTGTCTGTCTGCGGCCCTAAAACACTGCCCTGTAGCGCACAGCTGCTGAAAGGTCCGTTGGCAAGAGGACCAGCCAGGCGGCCGCCGTGCCTATAGAAGCAGTGCTGTGAACTGGCCCAGGTGGGAACATGGCGACTGCCGGGCGGGGGCTGTGCCATGCAAGCGTGCAGCACGCGAGAAACCCCGCACCCTGGGCAGGGGCATGGGGGGACTTGTGAGGTGGGGAGAGGTAAACTTTGATTAATAAGGGTCCTCCAGGGGCACCTGGGTGGCTCAGTCGGTTAAGCATCGACTTCGGCTCAGGTCATGATCTCATGGATCATGAGATCGAGCCCCACACCGGGCTCTGTGCCGACAGCTCAGAGGCTGGAGCCTGCTTCAGATTCTGTGTCTCCCCCTCTCTGTCTGCCCTTCCTCCTCTCATGTTATGTCTCTCTCTCACTCTCAAAAATAAATAAACATTAAAATAAAATTTAAAAACTTTAAAAAAAATAACAAAAAGTCCTCTAGTCCTCAGAGGCAGAAAGGACCGTCGCTGGCGGTTGGCACTTTCCACCACATCAGAAATCGGTAGGGCTGCGTCTGAACGGTCTGTTGAGAGGGGCTTTTCTCTGCATGGTGGAGCCGAGGTTAAAAGTGGGCCTGGGTGCGTTTGAATGCATCAGTTTTCCTCTCCAAGAAATCAGAGGTGGTAATAATTTTTTTTCCAGCAGTAGGGTTGGGATGTAAAAGAAGATTGGTTTTTATACTCTTACTGTAGCATGTTCAAGAGTATGTGGTCCTGTGTAAGTTGGAGTCTGAACACTGTGTGGACTGCTCTGTGCCCCTGATGTAGTATTGCGACTGGATGACAAAACAAGGAGAATACTGAGGTCGTCCCGATCGTGTAAGTCTAGCGCATCGGCTTCATAGGTGGATTTAGCTGCTGTGGCGTCAATTATCGATTTTGCCAGATCAGTTTTAAAGTAGGAGAAATGTATTTTTAGCATTGAAACGCTGAGCACTTGTGTTCTTGTTTCTTCCAGGCTGGGGAGGGCGCCTTGCCTCATGGATTCATGGAAGGTGTGGAGGGAGTTGCAGGTGGTTTTATTTACACTATTCAGGGTAAGTGGGCTGCTTGAAAGCTGAAGAGGGCCCTGATTCTTATGTACCTAATCTTACTCCATATTTTGACATAAAAGCTGATTTTTTTTGTCATAAAAAAAAAAAAGCTTTATTGATCTATAATTCACATTCACTTTACACTTTTAAAGTGGTTTCCAGTGCACGAGAGTCCTGAAGGTGTCTCCACTAACTGCAGACCGTTTCCGTCACTCCACAAAGCAACCCTGTGCCCGTTAGCAGACACTGTCGTCCTCCCCTCCCCTGGCCCCTACCAACCATCACCTGCTCTCCGTCCTTTCTGACCTTAAATGTAAGGATTTATATCTGGGATCTCAGTTCTAATCTATTGATCCATGTGTCTGTCCTTATACCGGTACCGTGCTGTCTTGACTGCCTGGTAAGATGTGATGTCAGAAGTGTGAATCCTCCAACTTTGTTCTCTTTCGAGATTGTTTTGGCTCTTCTGGGTCGCTGCCTTTCCATATGAACTTTAGGATCGGCTTGTCAGTTTCTGCACACAAGCCAGCTGGGATTTTGAAAGGGGTCGCAGTGAACGTAGATTGTTTCGGGGAGCGTTCCACCCTGACATTCAGTCTCCGATCCATGAACATGGTATCTTTCCATTTGTTTAGGTCTTACTAGAGTCCTTTTAGTGGTTTTGTGGCTTTCAGAACACAAGGCTGGCATTTATTTTGGTTAAATTTATTCTTAAATATTCTTTTTGATGCTATAATAAGTGGAATTGTTTTTTACATTTCATTTCTAGATTGTTCATTGGTAACATGTAGAAATACAGTTGATTTTCATATGTCCCTCTCATGTGTTGCAGTTCTGCTGAATTCATTTATTAAGTTACTAGTTTTGTGTGTGCCTTAGGATTTTCCATATACAAGATCATGTCTTCTGCAAAGAGATAGTTTTACTTTTTTTGTTTTTCAAGCTGGATGCCTTTTGTTGATTTTTCTTGTCTAAGTCTCGTGGCTAGAGTGTCTAGAACAGTGCTGAGTAGAAGTGGCAGAACAGACACCCTTGTCTTGTCCCTGCTCTTAGAGGGAAAACATTCAGTCTTTCACCATAAAGGTGATCTTGAAAAATTAGTGGCCTTGGACTTTCTTGGCCCCCTGTGGCTGTCTTTGGTTAATCCTCCAGCCAGGTGGGGACTTCTGCAGAACTGCTAGACCCTGGCCGGAGAGCTGTCGTGGGCTCAGTGCTGCTTCTCCGTCAGAAGGGAAGAAGCTCTGTTCCCCTGACCCAGGCATGGTGCCCTCTTTCGGAAGGGGTCTGTTGGACTCAGCTTCCCCTCCTGCTTCACGGTACACTTTCTCCTCATAACGTGAGTCTTTAAACATACGCTGTCTTTCAGAGTACATGTTTCTCAAATCCTTCACCTAATAGATCTCATTTCAAGGATGGGTTTGTTAGAAGAACTCCTTTAAGACTTGGGGTCAGAAGCATTCACTTAAAACTCTAAAGGGAACTTGTTATGATGGAGTTAGTGGCTGTGTTTGTCTTGAATGATGCTTATTTCATATCCATCTATGAACTCCAGAGACTCCTATGTCTGTGATCTTTAAGAAAGAAAAAGCATTGTTGAGGCAGTTGCTATTGGCCACTGTGCTGAAGATCACTTATGGAACAAAGGTGCCTGGTCCGGTTTCTGCCTTGATGTCCCAGAGCTCTGCACACCGTGGGTTCCTATAAAAGAATTAGGACCTGGCTTCCCTGAAGGCTCTCAGTGACTGGGGAAAGCAGGGGCCAAATTCCGAGGGGAGAGTCTGCGGGGGACCCCTCAGTAGCACGGTGTTCAGGATGGGACAGACCCCCAGTCTGAGGCCTCTGCATGCTGTTTGAGGATGCAAATGGGCTGTGGCTTTTATTTTTCCGCCAAACGCATCTTTATTTATAGTGTTTCCTCATAGAAGTAGTTGTATTCTTACATCACCCCAAAGGATAGGCTGGGACAGGTACATAGGTTTGGCCCATAAACTTGCCATTAAAAAAACAGCGATTTAAGGTAGATCAATTTTTAATTTTTTGAGGAACCTCCACACTGTTTTCCAGAGTGGCTGCACTGGTTTGCATTCCCACCAACAGTGCAAGAGGGTTCCTGTTTCTCCCCATTCTCTCCAACATCTATAGTCTCCTGATTTGTTCATTTCAGCCACTCTGAATAGCACTGCTAAGAATTTACCCAAGGGATACAGGAGTGCTGATGTATAGGGGCACTTGTACCCCAATGTTTACAGCAGCACTTTCAACAATTGCCAAATTATGGAAAGAGCCTAAATGTCCATCAACTGACGAATGGATAAAGAAGTTGTGGTTTATATACAGAATGGAATACTACGTGGCAACGAGAAAGAATGAAATCTGGCCTTTTGTAGCAACGTGGGTGGAACTGGAGAGTGTTACACTAAGTGAGATAAGTCAGGCAGAGAAAGATAGATACCATATGTTTTCACTCTTCTGTGGATCCTGAGAAACTTAACAGAAGACCATGGGGGAGGGGAAGGAGGAAAAAAAAAAGAGAGAGAGAGAGAGGGAGGGCGCCAAACCATAAGACTCTTAAAAACTGAGAACAAACAGGGTTGATGGGGGATGGGAGGTGGGTGATGGGCATTGAGGAGGGCACCTGCTGGGATGAGCACTGGGTGTTGTTTGACAATGAATTTCATATTTAAAAAATGGCAATTTAAAATTTAGAGATCCTTTCTTAATTCCAGTCCAGAGATTTTACATAAAACTAGGAGACCAGTCTGCCCAGGGAGGTGTCTGCTCACCAGGAAGCTAGTCCAGCCCCAGGGAAAGTTCAGATAAGGAACTCAGGCTGTTTCCTAAAGGGCTGGCACACCATCTGACTTGAATATCTAGCACCTTCCTTTCTTCTACCAGTTCATTCAAGTACGTACTACCAGGAGCCTTTAAAAACCCGTTTAAGGGGCCCCTGAGACTTCTGTCACTAAACTGTTCTACAAGGAGCAGCCACTGTACTCTCGACAAAAGTTTGTCATAATTTTTTTTTTTGTCACAGAGGCTAAAGGAATAAGGTTTGAGTGAGGGAAAATTTTTTTCAAAAAGAGTGAAATAACTCAAGTTTTAGGCTAAAGAAATGAAAATGAATAGATTGTCTTCTCCTGTACTTGGTATATCTGAAAATCTGAGTATAAATTAATTTTTAAAAATCAGGATCTAAGTGCTATTCAGAATAGTCACGTGGCACACAGATTCTTAAATTTTGTTGGGTGTTAGCATCACTGTCTGGGCCCTACCTCAAGCCACGGAGTTGAAATCTTTAGGATTGGAGCTCAGATGTCTGTGTCTTTTTTTTTTCTCCCCCTAATGTTTACTTATTATTTTGAGAAAGAGAGAGACAGAGCATGAGTGGGGGAGGGGCAGAGAGAGAGGAAGACACAGAATCCGAAACAGGCTCCAGGCTCTGAGCTGTCAGCCTAGAGCCCGACGCGGGGCTCGAACCCATGGGCTGCAGACCGCGAGATCATGACCTGAGCCAAAGTCGGACACTCAACCAGACTGAGCCACCCAGGTGCCCCCAGATATCTATATCTTAACAAACTCCCTAGATAGATGTGATGCTTCCAAAGGCTGAGAGACTGTAAACTCTGTGGTTCTTTTAAATAGATCATCAGGCTTAGAGCACACACAGATGTTACTTTATGTTATTTTTCAGATACATGCAATATAAAACAAAACATGTGATTTGTCCATCCGAAAGGCCTATATTCAATTTCTGCTCTTGCATCATTACAGCCATTCTCCTGTTCCTTCAGTTTTCTGACACTTCACTTTCCTTCCAGTGTTAAATTGTGTATGTTTGTCTTAAAGTTAAAAGCTATTACAGTACAATGTAAGAGCTGGAGGGGACACAGGGTCATTTCGGCCTGTGTCTCTCAAAGGGCAGAAGTGTGTGTGGTCTGCCTGCGTCAGTTTGAGGAAGACACGTGTTAAAGATAGAGTCTTGGGCCCCACCCCAGACCTGCTGAATCTTCAGGCTTAGGCCTGGGGATCTGTATTTCAGCGAGCGGTCCGACAGTCACTGACGTAGCCCACCTCCTCCTCCTGCCGACGAGACTACAGGCCCAGAAACATGGAGCTTGACCAGCAGTCGGAGTGGCAGAGGCAGAAATCAGGTTCTGACCTCTAGACCCCCATGTGGGCACAGAAGGTGGACTGCCAGACTACTGTGCTGTTTCTCGTCCTCACCCCTCAGCCACTCACTTTGTTTGTCACGAAATTTTCTCTGATTTGATCAAGACATTTGAAAAAATCCTGCCCTGGTTAAAAAAAAAAAAAAAATTGCTGCCTGAAATTGACAGAAACGGAGGACAGTCCCTGCCCAGATGTGACAAGTGATTCATGAACTTGGGCGATAGTAAACAAATGTCTTCTAAGCACATTTTTTATCATGAGATAAATACACCAAAATACACCAAATACACCAAAAATAGAGAGTGCTATAAGAAACGTCCACGTACTGGGGTGCCTGGGTCGCTCAGTCGTTTAAGTATCCGGCTTCAGGTCATGATCTCAGTTAATGGGTTCGAACCCCACGTTGGGTTCTGTGCCGACAGCTGGGAGCCTAGAGCCTGCCTCGGATTCTATCTTCCTGTCTCTCTGCCCCTCCCCCACTTGCATTCTGTCTCTCTCTAGCAAAAATAAACATTAAATAAAAAAAAAAATCCATGTACTTATTACTCAGAATTAACAAATGTTTATTTTTGTCATATTTGCTTTTTAAAAAAAATTTGTTAATGTTTATTTTTGAGAGAGAGGGAGAGAGAGAAACAGAGCACAAGCGAGGGAGGGGCAGAGAGAGAGGGAGACAAAGAATCTGAAGTTGGCTCTAGGCTCTGAGCTGTCCTGTCGGCACAGAGCCCCATGCGGGGCTCAAACCCACGAGCTGGGAGATCATGACCTGAGCCAAAGTCCTACGCTTCACTGACTGAGCCGCCCAGTCACCCCTGATGAGAGTGTTTTAAAATTGATTCTATGGCACCAGATTGTATATATCGATTAGCAATAAATACACCTTTTCCTCAGCGCCATTTTTCAGTGGCATTCATCTCAACATGCAAGATCAGGGTAATTTTTTTTTTTTTTTAACCCCAGTGACTCCTGAAGACCAGCATCCATCCAGTCTGTTCTAACTGCCTTTTTTTTTTTTTTTAATGTTTATTTTCTTATTTTGAGAGAGAGTACAAGGGGGAGATGGGGGCAAGGGCAGAGAGAGACAGAATCCCAAGGGTCCACTCTGGTCAGCACAGAGCCTGATGCAGGGCTCGATCTCACAACCATGAGATCATAACCTGAGTTGAAATCGAGGACGCTTAACCGACTGAGCACCAGGGTAATTTCTTTAACTGCTGTACTCTGTGATGCGGATGGGCCATATTTTCTGTTACCAACAGTGCTGGGGGAACATCCTTGGGAGCACATGAAATACTGCCTCTAGGGCTGGGTCTGAGTGGCCTTTCCCGGTGTGCGCGTCTTCCGCCCAACAGGCTGCATTGCTCTCCACGGAGAGCGCGTGCGCTCATCCCGGGACGCGAGGAGAGTTCCTATCAGCTACTCTCCGTTAGGTGTCTCGGGGAAGGAGTGCAAGTGCACATAATGTTCCATGTTCTGGGGCTGAAGTTTACAGTGGTGTTTTTCTCCAACTCTCGGCTTTTTCTTTGTAGAAGGTGATGCTCTCTTACAAAACCTTCATTCTCGCCCTCGAAGACTCCTTGACCATATGAGTAATCTCCACAGGGAAGATGCCTTACTGAGGGAGGAAAGCAGCGTCTATGACGATATTGTTTTTGTGGACGTTGTTGACACTTACCGAAACGTTCCTGCAAAATTACTGAACTTCTATAGATGGTAAGTTGTAAAAAACGTCAGGCAGGTAGAATTTGTTTTATTGTTCTTTGGGTGTAGAAACAATTTATCAACATTAGACCACTGAATTTTTAAGTTTGTTTATTTTTGAGAGAGAGCGCATGTGCATAAGTGGGGTAGGAGCAGAGAGAGAGAGAGAGAGAGAGAGAGAGAATCTGAATCAGGCTCTGCACACATTGTGGGAGTCAACTGATCTGATGTGGGACTCAAACTCACAAAACATGAGAACATGTCCTGAGCTGAAGTCAGATGCTTAACTGACTAAGCCACCCAGGCTCCCCCTGAATTTATTTATTTATTTTGAGAGCGAGCGGGCTGGGGAGGGGCAGAGAGAGAGGAAGAGAAAGAGAATCCCAAGCCAGCTCCTCACTGTCAGTGCAGAGCCCAACACGGGGCCCAGACTCACGAACTGCGAGATCATGATCTGAGCCAAAGTCAAGAGTCGGATGCTTAACCGACTGAGCCACCAGGCACCCCTGAATTTTTTTTTTAAACAACCCTAAGGTCCCTGAACACCTGGGATGTGATCTGTTGTATCCTGGTTCTTTGCGAGAACTTTTAAAATTCTGCTGTTTTCTTATTTACATAAGCAGATCCATGACATGAATGATCTTTATCAAAAACAGGGCAAAAGTTGGTTTCATTTTGAGTCATCTGCTCTTGGAGTCAAAATCGGTCCTCTGAGTCACTGTCTTGGTGGTCTCGAGCCAACGCCAGATGAAAATCTGTGAGTTTGAAAATGGCCCGTTTTCAGTTGTGTTCATACCCACCGACCTAAACAGCCCGAGTATAGTTTCCTCAAATCCAGGTTAATGATCTGAATTCTGTTCAGCTGAACATCCACATTATATTTCCATCCTCTTCTCCATGCACTTAAAAACCACTTGCCCTGGGGCGCCTGGGTGGCTCAGTTGATTAAGGATCCAGCTTCCACTCAGGTCATGATCTCGCGGTTTATGAGTTCAAGCCCCGCATCGGGCTGTCTGCTGCCAGCACAGAGCCTGCTTCAGATCCTTGGTCCCTCCCACGCTCACACATTCTCTCTCTCTCAAAAATAAACGAACATTTAAAAATATATAAATAAAAAGAAAACTACTTGCCCTAATTCCAAAACTTTTATGTAAGATGAAATCCAAACACACTTGGAGTCTGCCATAACTTCCCCAACCTTTCCATATTTCGTAGACCTTGGTTGTAATTCCTACCTTAATAATAATAATGGCAATAACAACTATTTTATATATATATATAGAGAGAGAGACCGAAAGAGAGTTAATATTACTAGTTACTCCAGGGTCCCCTAACGTGTCATTGAGCCCTTGAACACTGTCCACCCTAAGTGCAGATCTAACACCTGTCTCTGTCTAAACCCATAGTGTTTTCACATCTTTGTCTTTACAACTTTGTCAGTGAGCTTGTTTCCTGCTGAGCCCCAGAGTCTGTTCCTGTCCCCTCTGTTGTCCTGGGCAGAGTGGGAGGTGGTCAAGCACTCTGTGGACACAGTCCCCTGGTCCTGAGGGGGAGACGGCCTGATTTGTTTATGGAAGATGATGTTTCCTAGCTAGGGCAAGTTGATATAATTTGGGGGTCACCTTGTGGGCAGAGGGCAGATATAAATAAGGGTTGGAAATTGGGGCGTATCTGGAATATCAGGGTTTTGTTTGGATAACTAGAGTGAGAAAGAGAACCTTCTTTATTTAGCTCGAGGCCGATAGTAGGGGTTCCTGTGGTAGGGGGGCCAAGGCAACAATATAAGAAGCAAAGAGAAGGAGTAGAGGTCCAGGAAATGGGAAATCCGGATTGTGGAGTTCTAGGGCTTTCTACAGGGAGCTGATTGACGGTTGTGGAAGTTGAGTTGAGATACCGCCGCCAGTTTCAGCTTTGTCTCCAGTGCTCCAAACAGGTCTCTGAGGTCTCGGCCTCTCCCCTCGGTCATTACTGCCACTGTCTTGGGCCATTGTCTCCACCTGCACCACCACTGATGGGCTCCCGGGGTTGTGCTGGGGGACCCGCTCCCAGCTGCTCACCTGTGCGCTCTCTTCCTTCTCTGTTCAGTTGCTTGGTCAGCGACCGCAGTGTCCTTTATCAAAAAAGTTCCTCCTAATTAGCAAATAAATAGCATGTGTGCCCGTGCTGCTAATGAGAAATAAACCTTAGAAGCACAGGGTTAAGCAATTTGGTGTGGACCTATTGTTGTTAGATTCACCATTGCTGGGCTTAATGAAACTTTCTCCAGATTTCCTTTCTTCAGATTTCTGTCATTTGGTTCCCTAGCAAAACTCTGGGTATTTTGTTTTGTTTTAATCAAAGATGCATGGGAGTTGGCAGGGTGAGATGAAGTCAGTTTTCTACTTGCCCTCCTGTGTCTAGGTAAATGAAGTCACCCTCCTGGGCCTCCTAAAGGTCATTTATAATAGTTTAATAGCTGGAAATCGTTTCCAAGGGGAAATATATTTCGGTGTCATAACTCTATCTTTTAAAAACCATAAAATGTGAGTGCAGCATAGTGGCACAGAACAGAGCATCTTGTACAACAGCATTCTGTGTGTGGGGCCTAGTATGACACCTGTCACCTTATCCTGGGCCCCTGTCGCAAACACACGTTACGAGGTTCGAATGCTGAATGGATTTGGTGGCCTGGCCGGAGCAAGGCCAGTAAAGTGTTGCTTGAGCATGTGTTCACTTAAGGCATCTTTTTTTTTTTTAATTGTGTTCTTGTTCTTTTGTTCCTTTTATATTTTTTTATGTCTGTTTATTTGTGAGAGAGTGTGTGTGTGCGAGCAGGGAAGGGGGAGAGAGAGAGGGAGACACAGAATCCCAAGCAGGCTCTGCACCGTCAGCACAGAGCCCGACATGGGGCTCGAATTCACAAACCATGAGATCATGACCCGAGCTGAAATCGAGTCGCACGCCTCACAGAGCCACCCAGCGCCCCTCTTTTGCACCTGAAGTCAGCCTGGTACTTCTCTGTGTTATGCCACTTAGTGAACATCCAGCAGGGACTGCGGTTGGCAGCAACTTTCTGAGCAAATGTTCTCAACATCGAAGGAACAAGAAGCTGAAAAAGTGTACAGGCAGCTCAGGGACAGCTTTTCATTAAAATATTAGCGGTGTCATCGCCTTGGCGTCGCTGTGTCTCCTTGTACGGACGCACTGACTTCCGTGTTCCCTTTTGCCAACAGGACTGTGGAAACAACCAGCTTTGATTTGTTGCTAAAAACAGACGACGACTGTTACATAGACTTAGAAGCTGTGTTTAATAGAATTGCCCACAAGAATCTGGACGGGCCTAATTTTTGGTGGGGAAAGTAAGTTAAAGCTTGTTAGCCACTTGGCCTTCAGGTACCTGATCCAATGGGATGAATTTATAATGAAATACATAAGCTGTCTTTCACAAGCAAAACATGTGAGCTGGGAAACCCCCCTCCTAGGCTCCTGGGTTACTGTATGTTGTTCACCAAGTAGAGGGAAATTCTTCAAAATGAGAAACCTCAGGCTCATGTAATGAAGGAGGAGAAACGGTAGGGCTTTTATCCTCATGGCCCAGAAAGAAGTGGTTAGAATAAATTTGTGACACATTTCTTGAAACTGCTGCTTCTTTAGAATACAGTATGGATTAATGAGGGGTTTTTAGCGTATGTACACAAGATGGTCTGGCACTTTCAGAAACCCCACAAATGTAACCTTGAGAGAATCCGATAGACCATTCTTTTATACGCCACACCTGCCAGCTAGAGAATTGCTTTTCTTAGACTAAAAAAACACTTCTCATTCTTTCCTCACCTTTACAGCTTAGCCCTCTGTAGTGATAAGAAAGGGGTGCGGCCTCCTAGTGGTAGGACAGGGGTCAAACCAATACGAAGAGACCAACTTGTTTTGAATCTCAGTTTCAGACTGAACTGGGCAGTTGACCGAACCGGCAAGTGGCAGGAGCTGGAATACCCCAGCCCCGCCTACCCGGCCTTCGCCTGCGGCTCGGGGTACGTGATCTCCAGGGACATCGTCCAGTGGCTGGCCAGCAACGCGGGCAGACTGAAGACCTATCAGGTGACTCGGGATTTCTGACCCAAGAGTGTACAAGCTTCACCCAGCCCAGGATTCCATCGCTGACACAGAGCCGGCGTTCCCCAGGGAAAGCATGTTAGTCTTTCTGGGTAGGATTCACCCTCAGAGGTCAGGGATGCAGCCCTCGCCTTCAGATCCTGGCTCTAAATTCTATTCCTAAACCTTTTCTTGAGCCTGCTTGTTTTCAGACTATATTTTCTAAGTATAGTCCCTGGAGGAATGGAGGGCTTGACATTCATAAGAAGGAAGACGATACAACAAGTGTTTGCCTTCTGTTGATTCCGGTGACGGTGGCAATGAACAAGCCTCCCGGCTCTCGGATCCACAGTGTCCTTCACACGGTCGTGCTGGAGGTTTAAGGCCCATGAGAAGGGCGGACCGGCCACTTGCTATATTGTCTCTAGTCTTCTCCTTGCGATGTGCAGTTCATGGCCGCTGGCTTTTACTCTGTGTACAGGTGTTAATACGATCTTGGCATTTGCTGGTAGAATAACGAGAAAACAAGTAGAAAGAGGATTACGAGAAAGTGTGGCATCCCATTTAAAGATGATACAGCATTTAAACTTTTTTCTTTAAACTTCACGGGGCACGTACAGGGTGAAGACGTGAGCATGGGCATCTGGATGGCCGCCATAGGGCCCGCACGGTACCAGGTAAGCAAGCCTGATGGGGGACTGGCCCCTGGGCACTTGGGAGGTGAAGGTCCTGTGTCAGACGGGCACAAACAGTGAATTGAAGATGATTCACAGAGCTGCACTCTTGATTGGATGCACAGTAATCCACATAGGTTCGCATATAGTATTTTTCTGAGTTTAAACCAAAAGTAAATATTTTGTAAGTTTTCCTACTCAGAGAAGAACTGGGTTTTATACGTTTGGTCAGAAATTCTTTGCCGCTTTAAAACTTAAGGAATCAGGCGCCTGGCTGGCTCAGTCGGTAGAGCATGCGACTCTTGATCTGAAGGTCATGAGTTCAAGCCCCGTGTTGGGCACAGAGATTACTAACAACAACCAAAAAACCCTCAAGGAATCAGCTGGCTTAAGTTTCCAGCAGTGGTGGTTCAAGGACCCTTCAACCCCTCTGACTGATAGAACTAGAACACTGTAAGGTGTCTTATAAAATAAACTGATCAGTGAGCCAGGAAAAGAAATGAATTTGCAGAGACCAGAACAGAAATAGCCCTGAGAAGACAGCAGGTATAAAGCTGGCTGGGGTTTGCCTCCAAGAGTTCTGTTGAATTTTGGATTCTTGTAGCTTCCACTTTGGCCACAGAAGGTGGGCAGAGAGGCACGTGCAGGGTCTGCCGGACACGACCTCTGCGTGGCGCCCCGGCCCCAGAGCAGGGCACCCTCGCTGCAGGGGTGAACGGGAATAAACCCCCACCTGCTGGGTCAGCTTTGACAGTCTGTGTCATAGTGAAGCCCAATCTGACTTAACACTGAAGCTAATTTTCTGTATCTGCTAATTGTAGTGTCCGTGGTCTCTGTGGGCCTGAGTCTGTAGTTTGATGTTGCTTATGGAGCTTGTTTCTTGATGTGCTGAGAGACCAGTGTGCGTGACCTCATGTTCCTCGGAAATGGAGGTCTGTGTTTAAAACTCCTTCCACAGAGGGCCTTACCGTCTACTTGACTGCATTACAAACGAATGTGACTCATGCTGCACACCCACCCAGGTGCAGGCGGGGTTCTAGACGCTCAGGGTCAAGGCTGAGACCCAGGTTTTGTTTTCTAAATTACACACACACACACTTTCTCCTTCCCTCCCTCTAGGGGGTCCTGGCTGTGTGAGTCCCCAGGCCCCGTGGCCTTTTAAAACCCAGCAGGGCCTTCGGGGCACACGTGGACTCTAACTCCTTTCCTCTGCCACCAGTTCAAACATGCTGTGAAAAGACTTGATTCTTTCTAGCATCTTTATGTTCTGAGACGGCAGGGGTTTCTCAGGCTCTGTTGTATCACGGGGAAGGCGCTGGTGGTTAAGAGTCAGTCCTTCCTGTTCACCTTGACAGCATCCACTCACCTTTACTACCCTCGCCGTGACTGACCTTGGGCAAAGTACCGCACACTCAGTCTCTCAATCATAAAAGGGAAAGGATTCCTACCTCACAGGTTTGAGGAGTATTCGCTAGTATTTATTCATAAAGCGCCCGCTGCCATCCCCAGAATACCGTAAGCTTCCATGGGAACAGCTGCTGTTACCTCTTCTCGCAGCGGCTGGGAAACTTTCCGTTTGCGCTTCCCAGGCTTTCTGGTCACAGAAATCCCCCCGCTGCCGCCCCCCTCCCGCCCCCACCTGCGGTGGTTTCGGTGGTTCGCACACAGGTGTCTTTGAAGGCCTCTGCCAGCTTTCGTGGTCTGATCTTCAAATCCGTTCCACGGCTTCCAAGTTCACCTTTGTTTTTCTCCAGGACGGCCTGTGGCTGTGTGAGAAGACGTGCGAGACGGGAATGTTGTCGTCACCCCAGTACTCCCCGCAGGAACTGACCCAGCTGTGGAGGCTGAAGGAAGCGTGTGGAGACCCCTGTCAGTGCGAAGCGGCCAGAGGAGGATCGTAACTCGCGGTGTGTGAGGCTGAGGGTGTGTGCAAGCGAGAGTCTGAGGGGAGCCTACAGTTTGGCTGTCGAGTCCATGTGTCTTTCAGGATTGTTCTAGGTTGGCACTTTTTACCTGTAACCAATGTGACATTTCTAAATGTGTGCACAAAATTTCCTTTTTAAAAACCGACTGCTACTGTAGCATAAGAAAAATTTTATTTCTGTATTGGAAGAACATTTGAGAAATACCAAATTGTTTTATAAAACAAAAACGTTTCTAAGAGCTGATGTATCATTTCTAGTTTATAATTAATTACTATCACTTTTGCTTAAAATTTGGCCTAGTTCAGAAATCTTGAGTAATGACAGAGAATGTGAATTTCAAGCTGGATTACAGAATAGTTCCATGAAGCATAATGAGGATAATTAAGGGCCAAAAAGAACTCACAGAATGCCGTGTGGTCACTGATACCAAAGCTTGGGGTTTCTGGAAATGTCTGAAGTGAGCAACTTGAACTTGAAAAGGAACCAATCCACTCGGTTCAGGACTTTGGTTTTAAAGTTCACTTATTAAGTGGGCTAATTCAAGTTTTCTTTTGCCATTTAACACAAATCCTGAAGGTCGCAGTCTGGTACTATCAGAAAAAAAAAAAAACTAAAATGGGGATATAAGTCAAATACCTCTCAGGGTTTTAGCGACATAGGGAAGGATACTGCTTAAACAGTTGACACTTCAAATGAGTTTTGCTTTCTTCCTGTCATTGCCCGATGGTTCCCTACTACACGTGACTTCCCATCAGAGCTGGTCGTCATCTGTAGAAGAAAGTATGCCCAGTGTAGGTGCAGCTGCAGGAAAGACCATGGGATTCATTTTTGCAAGTACTCTAAAAATAGTGCAGCAGAGAAGAGAGATCATAGCATATGCGTTACACACAGAAGAGGTGCCGCCCTGAGTTCAAGGGACAGTTTCCAAAATGACCTTCCAAGTCCTTTTGGTAACCTTTTAAACTAGTAGTAACAGTGGAACTCCATTAAAACTGGTCTTACGCTGGACCTTAACTGTGTTCAGATCTCATTAGACTAGCTAGGTTCTATTTAATATTTAAAGTAGCCATGAACTATAAATACGAAATAAAATCAGTCATTAGCAGTGACCAAGGCTTTGCACCTACTGTTATGTATGTGCCTAGAAATGGTCTCTTCCCAATGAAAAATACCACTTTTTCTCTACTTAGGGCAAGTTGTAAAACCTCTTCTTCTGACAGAATTGTTCCAGAGAATCATTCCTTTCCAGTGAACCCCAGTCATGATAAAACAGTGGAGTCTCTGAACTTGACTAGTTGGCTGTTACCATCGCACTAACAGGTAGTCTCCGTTTTCCACAGAATAGAACTGTAATGACTGCTGGTCATTTTCTAGCTCAATCTCTCTGCCAGGCATCTAAAAACAGAACAAAGGGTCAATACATCAAAGATGTCTGTTTTTCACCGAGAATCCAGCCGAATCACAAAGAGCCCCAGCTGAATGACGTGTCTTACGGGGGGGCGGGGACCTAAGCTTGACTCTGTGTGTCGCTGGGCAACTTACTTTGGGACTTTCGTAGGACAGCACAAGTTCTGACACAGGAACTTTGAGAAGACGTGACAGCAGTCCCTTCACCTTCTGAATGGTCATGGAATCTGTCAAAAGACACACCCTCAGTTCCCTTGAATAACAGTTCCGTGTAAAACGAGCTCACGTGACAAGCCCACAGTCGCAGTGACTCAGTGTTCCATCATTAGGGACAGGCTCACCTGCCCCGGGGCGGCGAGAGCCCTGTCCACACCACCTACTGGACATTCGGGAAGCTGTGGCAAACGGAGCCAATGTTTGACCTAAGTGCCCTTGACAATGGCTTTTCATTACCATCTCAGTGGTGTTTAATATTTCCTCCTTACTCTGAAGAAACCGGAAATCCTATTCTCTGCACAGAGGAGTAAATGTGAGTAAAACCCTGACCTTCCTAAACCTCTGTGATCACTCACTTCTGGATGGCTGAGAGAACGCTGGGGCGGGGCGCCCCGAGGACGTCTGTCTGTCCCTCTGCCTTGGTTTCCTCCCTGGGGAGTGAGGGAGGCCCAAGTGGTCTATAGACTCCCTTCGCACGCGCCCAGTCTGTGGGGATTATGACATGTAAATGCGCTTGACATGCGAGGGGGATTTACTCAGTGAGCAAATGCTTTGGTTTGTTCAGAAAATGCTATGAACTTCTTTCCAAAGATGGGTTGTGGTAAATACTGGATATTTTGGTGATGAGAAATAGTTTCTCTGAAGCTTTAGCTGGAGGTACAGCAATAGTGTGGTGTTCCTACAAATATCACATGTATTCAAATATTTTTCTATCAAAAATGATTTTTGTAAAAGCTGTGTGTGTTTTTATGCAACTTGTCATAATAAATGTTATCTTTATTTTAGAATAAAAACTGGCCTTATTTATGTGTTGAATATAAACACTTAATTGACACCTGTAATTTTAATGAACATAACTTGTTCTTTTACGTGTGAACCTGTGTAGATAATCTTGTCCTTTCAAAAGCCTTAGGTGGACCGGCTTTCCTTGTTTGGAGGGTGATCAGCGATAGGTTAACTCCTCCACAGCAACAGGGAAGACACATTCCTAACTCACATCAGAAACAGAAAGTTTGGTCACAAAACAGTCCTGAGAAGAAATCTGCCTACTCGCACTGTGTCTTTAGAAAAACAGCAAGTTGCATGTAATGCTCTAAATAACGATACCATTTTTAATGGTTAACTGTCCCTGTGCCTCCCCATGACCACTGTTAGAATTTTAACGGGTAGGGCGCCTGGGTGGCTCAGTCAGTCAAGCGTCCGACCTCAGCTCAGGGCATGATCTCATAGTGAGTTCAAGCCCCACGTCGGGCTCTGTGCTGACAGCTCCGAGCCTGGAGCCCACTTCGGATTCTGTGTCTCCCTCGGCTGCTCCTCTGCTCGTGCACTCTCAAAAAATAAAATAGAACATTAAAAAAATTTTTTTTTAAGTTTAACAGGTATACACTTCCAGGCCTTCCTCCATTTCTAGAAGGATGGACAGGTTTCACCTGCAGTGGTCCATCTTTTCTCTCTTCACGCCAGTTCCTCTAGACCTGCACAGCCCAGCACAGCCGCTGCGTGGCTAGTGAGCACCTGAAGTGCGGGGAGTACGACTCAGGAACTGAATTTTATGATTTCAATTTAAGGCATTTAAATGGTGGCTCGTGGCAGCCATCCTGGACAGTGCGGCTCTAGACCTACTTCATTCTCTTTAAAGACCTGTGATACGGCAACGCGTGGCCCAAACTTACTCAACCACTTATTTCTCCACCGGTGAACATCTGTTTTTAATTCTATCATCACAAGTGCCACAAGGTAGAATGCTCGGTCATACCGTATGGGCAAAAGACGATGTTGCAGTCCTTTACATTTCCTTATTTATCACGTTTTGAAGAACAGTTATGTTGGTGGTTGAACACTGGCAGCATGTGGCGTAAAAATCAATAGCAAGAACTGTTGTAATCTGCTGGCTTGCTGCCAGGTTTCGAGAACACAGGACTCAGATTTTATACTGCTTGAAGCAGTAATTATTACATATAATTTCTATGGATGATTCTGCTCTCTGCTGGGTCCATCTGAAGATGAATACAAATCAGTGCATGAACATGGTGGGTGTTCCAGGGGGCACCGCATCTCAGAAGAACTGGGACACAGGTATAGAGGGTGGAAGAGGAGAGGTTGAGGCCACACTGTCGCCATCGGCCTAGAGCCACAGTCACACGCACACCCAGCCACGGTCCTTGACGGATGGAGCTTGGTGCCCTTCCCCAAAGAAGCCCTTGAACAGAAAGCTGAACTCAGGGCTGACAACATTCTTGAGCAAATATTCCTCAGTAATAACCTCCCCAGGAGTTGATTTTATGGATCTGGAAAGTAAAGGGAAAAACAAACACGATCCAAAGCCTACTACATTAACAAAAAGCTCTGGGTCTCTCACTGGTCTGTCCCCGTGAGTGTTTTTACCGACAGTACTTAAGTCTGAAAACAGAATAACCAAAGGGGAGCCACTAGTTTGAATTCATGGTGATCTAACAGCAGAATTACAGATCACAGGAACAGAAATTAGACTGCTAAGGAAAATGGAGTAATACTGGTATGAAATGACAGTTACCAGTCAGAAAGGTACCCCTGTGAGTACAAACCCTTCCATAAGCGATACTGTGAGCTTGTGGGATTTGATAAAAAATTAATTTAAAAATAAATGTGAATTGACTGCACTGACAGGCAAACAAAGAAAAGTCTTTTACTAGAGTCATTTATGGTGATCTACATTCCATTTCTTGGGCAAATCCTCACTGTTCTAAATTTAACCTGTTGATATTACTATTTAACTCTGAATCAAGTTTAATCTTGAGAATTCTTGAGAATTCACAGTATACTCAAAAGATGGGCTGTAATTTTTTCTAAGTTTAAGGTCACTTAGAGCAATCTAGTTTGTTGACACAGAAGTATTTTCGGAATAAAATGAATTCAGTCCCAGCAACACTAATGTTTAGACAGAGTTCCGAAGTAGCTTTTCCAAAAAAAAAGCATTTCAGTGTTTCCATTAAAAGACCACGTCTGAGAACTTTCCACACGGGGACTCCCGATCGGTAAGGAGTCGAGCGTATGAGAAGTCACAGATGTCCAAATAATTCACAGTTCGGGTCACTAGGACACATTTCCTGTTTTACAAAGGGATGGTGAGACAGACCTCAAGCCCAGTGAAACAGTCTCTCTGGACCAGAGCAACAGTTTGAGAACTAAACCGAGGTGGATGCAGGAAAGGCCAAGCCAGTCCAGCACTAATGACTTTGGCTGAAGATGTAAATGTACGCAGGGGCTTCTGGTTTAACAGGACTTTCCTAGATAAGCTGATACGGTTACAGGAGACTCGGGCTTCCGGGCGGGCCCGGCGCGGGCGGGGGAGGACAATGATGCTGGCACGATTAGTTGTATTTTAGATCATAAAAGATTAGTGAAAACGTATCAACTCTAGAAGTTCAGACACTTTGCTTCCAGCCAACTCCTAGGCCAGCAATTCATAAGTGCAACGAGTGGAAAAGCCTGTTTTTCTTACCTGGCAGTTGTTTTTCTGTGACTTTCTGATCAACCTGATTAGGATATTTTATCTTCAGTGCTTGAAGGAAAAAAGGAAAGAGAGTGACTGAGACCTACTGTAATAAGGATTTAAATTACACACACGTTAACAGCAGCTGACAAATGATAATGGCTGTTCAGTACAGCTTGGCTCAAATCCTAATAAAGGGTCTTACCGATGTTGAAAATCCCTTCTGTTAACACTTCACAGAATTACTAACAACAACAAAAATAGCTGGACCAATGTTCTAATGCCATCCCTTCTCCCCTTAGTAGTCCTTTCCTGAGAATTTGGCTGTGTGTTCCAGTGTAAGAAAAGTCACAAATTTACAAATCACAAGTCCATTCACTTCTCACATACTGCCCATTTATAACACCATTAGGTGAATCGAAAGCATGAGAATTGCCAAAATGTCCAATATAAGAATTAAAATTCTTTTAAAATGTTTATTTTTGAGAGAGAGAGAGAGAGAGAGAGAGAGAGAGAGACAGACCAGGCATGAGTGGGAAAGGGACAGAGAGAGGAGGAGACAGAATCCACAGCAGGCTCCGAGCTGTCAGCACAGAGCCTGACGCGGGGCTCAAACCCACGAACCGCGAGATCATGACCTGAGCCAGATTCGGACACTCAACCGAGCCACCCAGGCTCCCCCCAATATAAGCAGTTAGATAGGCTTGAGAATTCATCATTTCTCTAAAAACTGAAGTACTCACTTAGTACTTACTTAAGAGAAACAATCACTATTAGCTCATCACTATCTGTTTCCGTGCCTAAGGACGCGAATACAAATACGCGGTCTTTGAGTGTGAGGTTCTTACTTAGTAGCTGGTTTTTGAGCAAAAACGGCTGTCGTGTTTTGAGTTCCCCGTCTTCAGGTGCACCATATTCTGCGGAAGAAGAAATAAAAAAGGATGAGTGATAAGCCTTAAGCCACCGGAAGCAAAAATACAAACAGTAAGTGTTTGCATAGCCTTTTCCCTTCGGGGATAAACCTCGCAGCGGCTGCCACGCGAACCTGGCAGCGGGGTCCTTTTATTCAGTTACTGGTTTGCTTGTTTATTTTTAGGAAGGGCGGACGCAACTGCTTGCAAGCCTGGGACCCTCCGTCACTGATCCTCACAGACGGCGCCCCGACTCGAGCTGGCAAGAGGAGGCTGGGCTTTCAGACACTTAGGACACTTTTTATTCAAAGTTTCACCTTTGCTAACCGTTCCCTCGCATTCTGGGTCCTGAGAGAGGAGCCTGGTGCCATCTGGGGCACAGCTCACGGGACACCTTCGAGTCTCAGCCAGAGCGCGCGACACCAGGCCGGGCGCTCAGCACCTCCCCCTGCCTGGGAAGGGGATCCCATAGGAGGACATCAGAAAAGCTGGAGCCTTCCTGCTCCAACTTCTGCTGGGCCAACCAGAGACCGCGTTTCTAGAAATACCCCCAAGTATCTGTGCTTTTGTCTCGTAGCGTTCTCAGCCGTAGGCACAGGAATGCGTTAGAATCTTCCCTTCCTATCACCTCCCCCAAGTGCTGAATTCACCTAAGGTGGCCAGGAAATTGGTCCAGCTAATAGAGTGATTTGAAAGCAATTCCCATAGGCAGCTTTTCTTCCTCAAAGATAATGTTCCAGCCTGAAGTGCGTATGCGGTGAGCTTCTTGCATTAGGAAATATATATTAAAAAAAAAAAAGAGGGGCGCCTGGGTGGCTCAGTCGGTTAAGCGGCCGACTTCAGCTCAGGTCATGATCTCGCGGTCCGTGAGTTCACGCCCCGCGTCGGGCTCTGTGCTGACAGCTCGGAGCCTGGAGCCTGCTTCGGATTCTGTGTCTCCCTCTCTCTGACCCTTCCCTGTTCATGCTCTGTCTCTGTCTCAAAAATAAATAAACGTTATAAAAAAAAATTTTTTTAATAAATAAATAAAAATTAAAAAAAAAAGAAAAAAAAATCACATAAAAGTGAAATTTGGAATAATAATGAAGTCAAAACAAAATGGAAAGTTACATCAGGGACTAAGAATCATGAAGTCATGGCTTGACCCAGGCTGGCGAGGGTAAGGAAGTACCTTGTGTTCCCAGTGCCCAAACCAGTAGGGGACACGCACACGGGGAGCTTTCAGGACAGAGCGCTGAGCAAGTACCGTGCACTCGTCTGAACTTTCCTGGACGTTAGAATTAGCTGGGGAGCTTAAATGCCAATGCCCAGATTCTACCTTGACATCTGTGTGTTTTTTTAAGTTTACTTATTTTTGAGAGACCAAGAGAGTGCGAGCAGGGGAGGGGCAGAGAGAGAGAATCCCAAACAGGCTCCGCACTGTCCGCACAAAGCCCGAC